GACTTACTCTGAAAATTAAAATTCTAGAATTTTTCTCTCTTATCCAGAACCAAAGAAAACATTCATCCTTGATTTAGACTTGGTGAGCTTTAGAGTATATAATACTTAGTGCTCTATATATGTATACATTTTTATTCTTGCTATTATTATTGATGAAAATGTAAAGTTGTCCAAGCTTTTTCCTTCATGAATTAGAGAGGGTTCATAGACAGTGGTGAACCCCTATTAATGTGTTTAGAAAATAATTATGTAAAACACAGCAGGGCTTCTCCTTCAGGCAGTAGTGAACTAAGTGTTCTTAGACCAGGTTTCTTACTGGAAACAACTAGAAAATTTGCGCACAATGTTTTTTGGTTTTTTACATCTGAAAAATTTAAGGAAATTATCAGGACAAGTTATGTTTATGGGTCAAATATCTGGGAGAGAGGAGGTTGGCTTTTGCCACTGTTTTTATTTTATTTTATTATTTTTATTTTTTAAAGATTTTATTTATTTATTTTTAGAGAGGGAAGGGGGAGAGAGAGAAAGAGAGAGAGATCAATGTGAGGTTGCTGGGGATTATGGCCTGCAACCCAGACATGTACCCTGGCTGGGAATTGAACCTGGGACACTTTGGTTCCCAGCCCGCGCTCAATCCACTGAGCTATGCCAGCCAGGGCTTTATTTTATTTTTTAAAAGATTTTATATATTTATTTTTAGAGAGGGGAAGGGAGGGAGAAAAAGAGGGAGAGAAACAACATGTGTGGTTGCCTCTCACATGCCTCCTACTGGGGACCTGGTATGCAAGTCAGGCACGTGCCCTAGACTGGGAATGTAAATGGATGCCCAGTGATTCTCAGGCGTGAACCCAATCCACTGAGCATACCAGCCAGGGCATGCCACTGTTTTTAAATTATAAATTCCTACAATTACAACTGAGAGGCTGAACAACTGAGCAGTTTTGGTGGACTGGCCTTGGAGGGAAAGATTAAAATTCCAGATTTGTTTCAATAGCTATATGGTGGTCTCTCTAACTGTGGTTTGAATTTTCATTTTCTTTATGATTGGTGATTTTGAACACTTTGTTATAACTGATCATTCATATATCTTCCTTTTTTGAAGTGTCTGCTCAATTTTTTGCCTCTATGTTAATTAGGTTGTTGGTTATTTTATTACTGAGCTTTAGGATTTTTTCATATATTCTGGAAACAAGTTCTTTGTCAGATATATGCACTTCAAGTTTGTGGCTGGCTTATTTATTTTCTTATTTTTGGTGAACAGGAGTTTTAATTTTGATAAAGTTTAATTTACCTATTATTAATTTTTTGTCATTGTTGGTTCATGTTAGATGGTTAAGGTTGTGAAGGTATTTTCCTATATTTTCTTCTAGAATCTTTATAGTTTAGCTATAATGATAAAATTAGAGTTTATTTTTCAAAAGTTAAAGTTTAAAGTTCAAAATCATTTGACATAATGTTTATGTTTAATGTGAAGTAAGAGTCAGTGTTCTTTTTTTAATGACTATCTATCTAGTTGTTCCTTTGTCAACTTTTGAAAAGAATTCTCTATCCCCTTAAACTATTTCAGTATCCTGTTCATCCTATGTGTGTGGCTCTATATCTTGACTTTGTTTTCTTGCATTGTTTTATTTGTTTATCCTTTGGCCAAAACTTCACTGTCTTGATTACCCTTGGGTATTAGAAACTCTTGAAGTCAGTAAATGCAAATCTTCCAAATTTGTTCTCCCTTTATGGTTGTTTTATGCATCTTAAGTCTTTCTTTATTTTTATATAAATTTTAAAATCAGCACCTGAATTTCTAAAACAAAGCTGTTGTTGAACAGAGTTAGAAATGAGAAATCTAGAAACTGCCCCTAACTTACACGGACACGGTAAGCATGACAATTTCGGCACAGCAGAGCAAATAAACATTCTCTTCCCAGTACTAGTACTTGCATAATTGGTTATCTGTATTGTTTCTTCTTCCACTGTAATACATCCCCCATTTTGTGTCTGGAAAAAGCTTAGTTGGCAGTTCTGACGGTAGGTCTTAATGTAAATTGCATCCAGAAAGGCTAGAACCGGAATGGTAGGATTCTGGAATATCCTGGGAAAGTCCAAGTCTTTCTGGAAAATGAATGTACGAAAATTAGCTGACTGTCACTAGTAACCAGGGAAGTGGGCATTAAAACCTCAGTGGCATTCCGCTCACTATACCTTCAACCAGAATGTGTTAAATTAGGGTGGTAATGCGCAATGCTGGTGAGGGTGTAGAGAGACTCAAACTCTTATGGACTACTGTTTAGAATTCGGTTCGGTCAAGTCAGTTTTGAAATGTTTGTGAATATTACTAAAGGTAAACATTTGCAAATCCTATGATCAAAGCATTCCTTTTACTGATTTGTAGCCAAATGGCAAATTTTCATCTAAGCACACTTTTTAGAAGAGGTTTATATTAGAATTTTTTGAAATAACACCAGTATTACTAGAAATAGCAAATCGGAGACAACCTAAATAAAATCAGTAAACTATGATGCTTTTATACATTGGGTTAATAGGTAGCAAAGAAAGTGAATGAGTTAGTACTACACATAACAATACAGATGAAGATCAGAAATGTGACATGTAGTAAATGATGCTTAAATCAAAAGAATGCATATAAAATCCAAGACAGTGTTTAATTTTGCAAATGGACAGAGAAATAATGATGGGGAGCATGAGAGGATTTCTGCTGCTAGTAATATTCTATTCCTTGACTTGACTAACTAGATACATTGGTGTGTTTACTTTGATAAAGTATTAAATTATAAGTAATACTTCAATAATACACTTATTTTTAAAACCATTGTTTTGTTTATAGTAGCATGGAGGGAGACAGCAAAACAGATTAGTTTTTAATTAAACTTGCTTAATAAAGCAGATTAATATTTAAAAATGATATTGAGGGACACATAGAATCATTAGGAGAGGCGAAAACTAGGTTTGGAGGCTGCTTCCCTAGGACAAGGACCACATCAACTACGAACTGGGGGAAAATCCATCGCTGCCTCCCTGAGCTCAGACAGTGCCCCTGTCAATGACAGCACCCCTGACACATCCAGGACCCTGGACGCTCTCTCTGTAGTCACTGATGCTGCTGACCCCATCACCAGAATGGGTTGAGCAGCTCCTTTTTTCCTGGGTCACTAGCATCTGACCATCTGGGCTTGTGCTTCTGATTGGTAGAGTCTAGGTCGTGTGTAAATTCAATCTTCAATTCAAGCTAGTAAAGAAAATGTATCTGGTGTTTCAGCTGTGATTATGGTTTGTATCTAAAATGTGGCTTTCAGAGCACAGAAAGAAATGTCAGATGCTGCCGAAGTGAATGATGGTTACCTACAAGTGCACCCCATTCATGTGTTATGTCTTTGAGTTCACGTTTCCAACAAGGTTTGCCAGCACAGGGTTTCCGTGTGTCTGAGCTGTGTGAAGTGGGTTAGCAGTCATTTACGCCATTAAGGATTACCAGAGGTACAAGTATCTTTCATTCTAAAGTATAGTGGCTTTGCTAAGTTCCTGCCTTGTTCCTGGTAATTAGCCCATTCTCTGAGTGGTGTGAGAAATCTTGCCATTTCTGAAGATATTTTTACCATTTTCTGCTGGACTAGAAAATCTTGAAATGCCTAATATCCACGTGAAAGTAAGGTTCTTTCTTTCTGAACTTTATTCTCACTTGATGAGTATATGAGAGAACAATTATCCTGGTTTGCAAATAAAGACATTTAGGTCTTTTAGCCAGCCTATTTTCTCCCTTTATTCAGTCAGTACACACTTTCCCCTTGCATTTTAATCTTTAAAGACTGTTTGCATTTTACCATACATAGGATATGATAGATTGGCAGCACTTTCTCCTTTTAGTGATGTGCAGACCAGTTTTGCATCTTATAAATAATGACCTTAGACTTGGTGAGCTATAATCATGATTTTAGATACAAAAATAAAATATATGATCAAGGTCATTGTATAATTATGCCTCCTCGTTACCAGTGTCCTTATTTAATATTATAGACCTCAGACATCAAGATTCTCCAAGAAATTATACAAACCCAACACAAACCTTCACTTCCAGTTGTCTGTTTTTACAGCTGTATCATTCTTCTTTGTGTGACTCAGTACGGCACCTGCAGCCACTTCCGCAGTCTCCTGGCGGTGTGTGAATTACACAGGGGATCCTCAGGCTAGCAGAAGACTCTACCACCACGCATTCCCGACTTCACTGCCACAAAGCCAGCACTCTTCTTTCCCTTCCTTGATCAAAGAGTGGCTACTCCATAGAACTGCATCTCAGATTTAAATAAATATGCCATGATAGACATGACAATAACACAGTTTATGTTTTGTCATCCTCCATCAAAAGAATCCCCTTATTCTGCACTAATCCTTCCTTTCCCACAGTACTGGGGGGATCAATCAAAACCATGGCTTACATTTGTGTCATGACCTACGACTTTTGATAGGCACTTGTATGTATCACTGCACTTGACTTTCACAGCAAATATGTGTCTTATGACAAAGCGATTATTCTCATTTTACAGAGAGTGAAAAGTGTTTTAGTAAGCTCACATAACAGTGCATGGTAAATTCCAAATTATAATTCATTTCCAGTCCTCTGATTCAGTTGATTTTTATTATCTACTATGCCATGCAATATCCAGACTCTGAATGTCTGAATTGCTTTTCTTCTGTTATTTTTGAGTTTCCATTTAATGATCTTGTAATAAAGAATTTGAATAACTAGTAATATTTTCTAGATACATAACGAAAATTGATGGACATTATATCTGATTGCCAGTATTTTTATTAATTGATTAATTCACTTTCAATTTAGCTTGAGAAATGATCTCACAAATCAATTGCCTTGAGGATGGGAGGGACTTGGTATTTGTTTTTATTAGAAAATATGCTTTTGAAGAATATGCCTTATGATAAGCATTCACCTTACTAGCCTATAATCTTTTTTTCAATATATCTTTTATTTCTAGTTATGTTTCGCCTCTATGACACGGATGGGAATGGCTTCCTGGACAGCTCGGTAATTTTTTTCCTCAAATATTCTGTGAAAATTTTGAAGTAGTTCTGAAAAAAAAATGCAATGAATAAATTTATAGCTATTATCATAGAAGACACACATAATACAATTTTCATGCACTCACATAGCATTTTTATCATCTGACTTTTTGAAAAGGAGTTATCTGAGGAAACTGTTAGGATTGCAATTGTTCTATTGAATAATTTCACCACATAAAAGTGACTTTTTATGCACTGGAAGGTAAAAAAGGCTCCAACTTTATTTGAATAAAACATCAGAAAGTTGAGAAACATTGATCTAGAAAGAAAAACATAGTCGCAAGATTTGAAACTATGGAAAATATTGAGAATACAAGCAGAATTTAAAGAAATTGTATTCATTTTAATTGTTTTATTTTCCCACTTGTGGAAAGTATTCTTAATTATTTATGCTGTATAATTATTTATATCTAAATATATTTATAAGTTGCTTTGACAAACTTCCCTTTTTAAAGTGTCTCACCCAATTTTAAATGCAACTTGCACATGCTATAGCTTTAGTTATAAAAAATAGTCAGAGAAAAACACCATATCCATATGATTTAACTGAAAGGAATGATTACATGCTTATTTTATTTTTAACATGCAAATCATTATAGTTTTCAGAAGAGAAGTTTCACTCTTAGTTCTTTTGCACAATTAGTGCCTCATAAGTATATCTGTCTCAGGTTCCATCCAATAATATACTTTATATTTGCTAATAATATATTTTACATATTACAGTATTTCCTGTTCTGTAAAGGAAATGTTGAGAATAGAGGAGGGGGGTGGGAGGGGTGGGAGTGTGTAAAGGGAGATAAATGGTGATGGATCAAAACTTGACTTGGGGTGGTGAACACACAACACAGTGTACAGATGAGGTGTTATAGAATTGTGCATCTGAAACCTGTATAATTTTGTTAACCAGTGTCACCCCCGTAAATTTAACTAAATATTAGTAAAAGAGTATGTGTCAGATTATGGAACTTTTGGAGGGAAGAGTTACCTCAAAAAAAACCCCAAATGTTTTGAAATATTTAATACAACATTATTTCTGAAGTGAGTTTCTCTCTTCATCTGGTGTCCCTCCCAATGCAGACCTCAAACAGACTTGCACAGGCAAAGCAGAGTAGTTAGAGACACACTTCTGTAACACCGAGTGGTGTAATGGTGCATTAGTTTCTCCAGAGAGCAATACAAATACATAGTTCCGCTCGAGGAAATGAGCACCAATCTGAATTGATGTTACAACTGTGGGATTTCTTATGTAAAAGGCTCTATTTTCACATGCTATTACTTTTACGTGTCTAGTGTTCATTTTTTTATTTAGGAATATTAAGCTACATGATCCATTTGCTCATTTTCTGGTGACATTTCACAACTAGAAGTTTAGACTTTTTTCTAGATATTTCAGTATGGTTATTGTAGCACTTCTGACTACACTAATGCAAACTATGTTTTCACTTCAGATTTGTTTTATTTAATGTTTCTTTTTAATTAAATTATAAGGAAATTTCTTTGCTAGGCTTTGAGCCATAGGTTGGAGGCTGACTTGAAAATCGAATCAAATGCTTTTTTTGATCTCCATTTTTTGTTAACCTATAGTAAATTACTAGTAATATTTGTGACTATATTTACAATATTAAACAATGGGTTGGCGATAAACACATTTGTTTATGATTAAACTGTTTTTTATGATTTTTTCCCACAAAAATTACTGTCCTCATATATTTCCTTCAATATTAGGATGAAATTGTATATTTTGATATCATTTGTCTTAGAAATTTAAATGTGTGACACATTATATATTGAAGGCAAAAAATAGAGGAAAATTGATATTTTGAAAAATGACCACTATGGCTAACACTATTAATAAATGTTCGCTAATCATTTGCAATATGACAGACAAAAATCACTGCTTTTTATATTGTATAATAGCATGTTTAATCTTTGCAGCAGCTCTGTAAACTAGGTATTTTTTTTAATACATCAATGTGTGGGAGATATACATGGATCGGTTGCCTCTCACACTCCCCTTGCTGGGGACCTGGCCTGCAAGCCAGACATGTGCCCTGACTACAAATCGAACCACAGGCCAGTGCTCAATCCACTGAGCCACACCAGCCAGGGACTAACTAGGTATTATTAGAACATTAAAAATAATATTTTTTACTGATAAAAAACTGAGCCTAAGAGAGGTTCAATAACAGCTAATATTACAAACCTATGTAATATTACACTATGTAATATTAGTTTGCCAAAAATAGTTTCTATTTTAAAAAGCATACCCAGGGACTTTAACCATTCCAAACCACTAAGACTTATGTAAGCAAAAATATTGTAGGTGAAAGATTAGTAACACACACACAATTCTAACCTATGATTCTGAGGTATTTATGTTTAAAAATTTTCCTATCTGTAATAAATAAACACACATGTTTGTATTATTTCTGGGGCAACCTTTGTTACATAAATAACATTTTCATGATTATGTCTTTTCTGCAGAGAGGGAGTGTAGCTTTTATCAAATGGATCCATGATCCCCCAACAGAAAACCTCTCTACCATTTTCCCATCTTGATTCTATGAATATTAACTGCATATGTTAGCTGAGAGATTTGAATAGAATAATTTCTGATTGATATGTGAGGTCTGTCTAGGAAAAGTCCAGCCATTGTTAATATAACAGTATTTGCATGACATTGATGTAACCTGGCAGCCAAGGAGAGCAGACTGGAATGTGCATGTGTGAACAATGACGACTTTACTGCACTAGTCAGTGGAGGCAGTAAATGCCTTGAGTGAGCATGTGTACTATATGGCCATCCCATTCAAACTGACTGAGCAAATACACCAACGAATTTGCATCAGATTTTGCGTTAAGCTTGAATATTCCTCTGGGAAACTACTCTGATGATTCACAAAGCCGCAGCTATGGGCAACTGGCGATTAGCAGCTTCATCACAACAATGTGCCTGTTCATGCATCACATCTTGTACAGAATTTTTTGGTAAAACATCAAATCACCCAGGTGACTCAGACCCCCGATAGCCAAGATTTGGCACTGTGCAACTTCTAGCTTTTTCTAAAACTGAAGTCACCTTTGAAGGTGACTCAGATCACCTTCAGGAAATCCATGAGATTCAGGAAAATACCCTGGGGCAGCTGATGGCGATTGGGAGAACTGTGTGAGGTCCCAAGGTGCCTACTTTGAAGGGGACTGAGGTGTCATTGTCCTATGTACAGTGTTTCTCATATCTTGTATCTTTTTCAATAATTGCCTCTATTTTTCACATTATATGTTGGATACCTTCTGGACAGACCTCATACATTCAAGCTTATTCTTGTATACTTATATTTTAAATTATCACACTATATAGTACCAGTTTTAATTATGTAATTGACTACATTTAAATTACTAGCATTTACAATATATCTTTAGTGTTTTTTAGACGTGGGAATAAATTAAAACATTAAATAAATAGGTCTGAAAAATGCTTTATTTTTTTTATCAAAGCCATATGTATTCCTCAAAGAGTTGACATTTGAGTAGAATAACGTGAAAATTCAAACTAAAATTCCATGCCCTCATAAAATAAACTCTACATGTACTTAGCCTTCCAATCTGGACCCTGAAGGCTCCTCTAGTAGAGCACATTTTCCTGGTAAGCGGGACAGACAGTCAGAATACATTCTCATTTTTATCAGAATAAAAATAAACCTTTTAGCTGCCCTCAGACACTTCCTTCCACACCTGATTTCAAGTCAAAAGGTCAGGATACTCAGTGACTTAAAAATCACACCCTGTGAAAATATGCCTGCTCCTTCATTCATCCAACTCTCCCTCGGAGTTTGTTAACAATTTTCTGCTGGAAGAAACTCTTCTTTTGTATAGCGGTGCCCTCTCCTGGTGAAGATTTCTAGACAATGTACAAAATGAATTCACACTCCTATTAGGTATAGTTAATCAGACCTTTTAAAAAGATATTGATCATATAGCTTTTAGGTTTTGGGGCAACATGTTGAACAAACAATAACTGCAAGTCAAAGTTAAAGAATTTACAAAGTCTTTGTATTGATTGTCTTTATCTTCCTTTCTCTCTCTCTTTCTGCTCCAGGAACTAGAAAACATCATTAGTCAGATGATGCACGTCGCCGAGTACCTTGAATGGGATGTCACTGAACTTAATCCAGTATGTACATAATGATTTAACTTTTGGCTAAATTCTAGCAGGTGCCTTTCTCTTTTGTCTTTCTTGGAACCCTAATCCATTATTCTCATTTGATTTTTATGATAGCTCTAAGATACTATTTCTAAATAGTAGTCAAAATGGATCTTGAATAAGGAAGGGTATATGAAATTCTTAGCAGTGCCTTTTGCTTTTCTTCCTTATGGAAACTAATTTGAATGCTGGTCTCATATACATGCAGATACATAGGAGCTACTGACGCACCTGCCACTGTCATGCCATGCCATACCCAAGTCAGAGTTGATATGTGCTCTTCATCTCTGTGATTGTCCTTCTATGAAAATTGGCAAAGCAGTTGCTGTAAGAGGGAGAAGGGATTAAGAAGATGATGATAGTTCACTGTGCACAATGTATTGTGCTACCTTTTGTGTATGTGCTTTTTAATGCTGACAACTCTCTGAGGCAGACACTACCATTCCACTCATTGCACAATGAGCAAATTGAGATCCCAAAAGGTTAAAGTTAGTTATCCAAAGCTCTGAAGCTACTTACTCAAATCATTGAGAGAAATAGTATCTAACAATGCTTATAAAAACATAAAAGGCTTCTTATTTTTCATAGGTTTATTCAAGTTACAAAATACACGCTTAGAAACTGACTTTAGTTCCAAGTAGTATTTTGGGGAGCATTAATTAGTTTTATTTATGTTTTTTTCTTTTTGAAACCAGCTAAATTCAGCAAATTGTACATGAGCTAAGCAATACAAATCCGTTTCATTTAAATGGTTTATATTTTATTTGAGTTCAAAAGTTTGTTCTGAAAACACTATTCCCATTTATGCAGTTAACGGCATGATGATGGCATGGTACAGGAAATGCGGGCTCTGATGGCATTTCCCTGGCTTTACAAGCTTTTGCCAGTGAACTGCAATGAAGTCACATACAATGTCATGCACTAAGGTGGGCACCATGCTTATGGGGCTTTTCAAATTTTGACTCAATGGATTTTTTGGGGGGGATGTGGAAATACACATGCTGGGCTTAATGAGTTCAGAGATCATAACAATGTTGTAGATGTTATATGGAAGAATAAAGTTACGGTAATGTGTTTAATTCTAGGAATGCTGCTTGATTCATCCTAATAGTATTTGCACTCATATCAAGGGACTTCTTATAAATTTTGTTGTCCATTTTGCTGATGTTAATCTAACACAACTTTCTTTCTCCATCGTATTTACCTCAATACTTGTGAATACTCTTTATCTACCAATCAAGCCTCTTGTCTTCACTGAGGTGATGGAAAAAAGGGGGTGGGATCTTTTTCCATCAGCTTTCAAAGCAGAAGTGGGCTCCACCAGTTCCCCAAAAGAGATTTGTCAGGGGAAGGTGGATTTGAGAAAAGGCTGATCCAGATGCTCTAAGGAAGGAAAGAATTGGTGGGTAGGCTAATTGTTATATACACTTATGGTATTTACGACAATAAACTATATAGCATTGTTTGTCCTTTGTGGCACACGCAGATAAGCCTGCCATTGCTATGAGTGGTATAAATAGTCGAAAGTCGAGATAAAAGTCTCACCTTGTGCATTATGTTTGCTGTGACAGGAACGGCCTCATCCTGCCTGGTGATTCAATGGCCCTCTCCCCGCTTTAAATGAGTGTGTACATTTGTTCATGTTGTCAGAACGCTGATAACTGTGTGTGTGAGTGAATGAAGAGGACTGAAAATTGGAGGTTGATGGCAGGCAGTAGGGAAGACTGAGATGTCCTTGGAGGGAATTAAAAAACACACACACAGAAAAACTGACCCAAGCTATAACATTAGATTTATTAGGTACAAAATGAAAGCATCAGCCATCTGAATCAACGCTCTGTATTAGATATTATTTCTGCACTTTGAAAATTAATATTGCAATCTTCTCTTGCATAAGATTTTATTTTACTATACATAACCTAGTTCTTTTTCTAATAAATTATTGTTTCTCTGTATGTTAGTTCTCTTCTCATTTAGTCATTTTACACTAGTCTACCAGAGCCTCGATCTTATGCCATTTGCCAAATTCTAAATAATTCCCCCATGTTCCATTTTGAGAATAAGGAAATAATTAGGTTGCCATCATTTTGTTCCAAAAAATCTCTTTCTTTCCAATAACTATTAGTTTCTTCTGAAGGATAATAATCTGATTTTTATGTACTTTCTAAAAGAAGACACCAATAAATCATGTTCAGGGATTTTAGTCAAACAACACTTCTATCAAACTTATTCTAATGCTCTCTGTGTTTCTTTTTCCAAATTGGTGAGAACGTCCATATTAAAGATGCTGAGTTACCTTTTTTTTTATTGGAGCTCTACTATATTTGTCATTGTGGTGCAATTAGGTGGGAAGTACTTTGCCTTTCCAGAGCCAATGGTAACATATTTGGAACTCATATATAGTTTCTGCTAATATAACACTAACAACATCTATATCACACTCGCTCTACTCATATATGCTAGATGCTCTTTGAAGATACTTATATTAACATATTTAACTCTCACAACAAAACTTTGAATCGAACATTATTAGTACTGCAATATACTCAAAGGTATTACCAACACAGTCTGTGGAGGACATTTTGGGACACTCTGTGCAAATCATCTTTAGGAGAAGAAACTAATAAAAAATGACTTGATTGTTTAACTTTCTGGCTCTTTTAAGTTCTGGTAGCCAATTAAAAACAACTTAATTCTCCTGCCTCTTACCACTTTGCAGAGTATTTCAGTTCTTTGCCATGAAGTTAATTTGTTCAGACATTATCTGACATATATTTGAATTTAAAAAATAGTCTAGAGAAAGCAATTAAAGGCCATTTTTACTCTTAAATTAAAGACATGTTGTTTTAGCTGTACCATTCAGTGATGGTGTATTAAAGAGTTAAGCCATTATTTTTAAAAGCCAATCAGTGAAAGTATCAGGCTCTGGAAATCAGAACAAAGCCACTGTACACTCAGTAATAAGGTTAATATTGTACAAAGTTACCTAGATACTTACCTCAACTCTCCGCTTAGCTGCTTGTCACAGTTCCAACCAATCCAATGCACTGCTTCATTGTGTCCTATGAAATGCGTGTTATTCATTTATTGCAAGGTTTCCCTCTACTCCTCTGCTTCAGATCCTTCATGAAATGATGGAAGAAATCGACTATGATCACGATGGGACGGTTTCTCTGGAGGAATGGATCCAAGGAGGCATGACAACAATCCCGCTTCTTGTGCTCCTAGGCTTGGAAAACGTAAGCGTCAACACAAGGGCGGGTACCTGGTCATAGGTCAGTGGGGTTCTCCACTTTACACTTTGATTATGAGTTGATCTGGCTGTTTCCTACCAGTGAGCATGTAGTGAATGCCTGGACCTTTTAATGAGTATGCACAGTACAATTTAACAGTAACTGCTTCTGTAGCCATACTTGTCATAATACATTCTCTTTGTTCTCTATTTGACATGTAATCTAGTTTTAAAAAAACATTAATGACTATCTCATTTATCTAATGCAAAAAACCATAATATTATTGCATTCTATGGTTTTTCATCCCATACATATGTCCTTTTCCTATGAAGATATTCTGTTTAACTGATATGTAATTCTTGGAGGAGCCAATTATACATTAATGTGGTTAAGAGGACATATACACACACATACACAACTGTTTCTTATATTTGAGCAGATCAACCAGACCTTTGCTCTAAGGCTGTCAAAAGTTTTCTAATATCAGTGCCTCCATTGGTAATGGAATGCTAGTTTAAGGGAATAAAATAGATCAACCCAAATTCAGAATAGGATGTGATAGAGACTTTGAAAGCAAATCTTGTCCCCCAGCCTTGATATGAATTTTAATAATAGTTTAAAAATCCATGCCAGTACTAGATTTTTGGTTTTTGCATTAACGGGAAAACTGAAATTAATAAAATGTGTATTATGAAATGTATAATTAGATTCAAGAGCATTACTAAGAGTGCCATGACACATACAATATTTAGAGATTGAGATACAAGGACATGGTGTCCACTACTTTCCTGCTGGCCTTAACACATTCCATGCTTCCTATTACCAGCCATGACAGTTTTTCAGATTCAAGACTGTACCACAGGTATTCGGAATACCAACATTTGAAGTCAGTCTCAAGAACTCTTACAGGCTGTGCCTGTAAAACCCGTGGCAGTACTGACCAATGCGTTTGTACATGTTTATTCATGGGCTTGGGAACATGGAAACGGGCTTCAGGGCAGTAGCATTTGTCTTTTTTTTTTCACAAGGATGTTCAAATTCTTTTACGTTCAGATTAACCTTACTCTTCATGAGGTCCATGGGATTTTAGATATGGTCAGGGAGGAAAAGAAAAATTACTAATGGATGACATATATGTAATTATACTTAAAGTAGATAATTTATTAAAATAGTAATAATTAGTATAAACCTTAATAGATATTATTTCTGCACTTTGAAAATTAATATTGCAATTTTCTCTTGCATAAGATTTTATTTTACTATACATAACCTAGTTCTTTTTCTAATAAATTATTGTTTCTCTGTATTATTAATACTTGTTTAACTGTTTGATATGCCTTTTGACAGATGTATATGAAACCAGACTTGGGAGAAACAAAAAGAAAATTGATGGGACATTAACATTTTAAGATTTAGGGTTTACGTATATGAAAAGTAGTTGTTCAATGACTAGTCAAGAAGTTCTAATAATAATGGCTCCTGAGAGAGAGTTTTATATTTTTAAAGCTACAATTTTGTTTGTTTTAGAAATTTATGGAAATTCTAGTATGAGAGAAGGAGACAACATGCAGGAATGAGTAGGTCAACCATCCGGCAGTTGGGGGATTAGGTAGGAAAGTGCAAAAATGAAGACTAAGTCATCTACATTTTAAATATCACAGAAAGATTTTGAAATGGTGTTTTTCTTGAAAACTACTTTTACAACTTGATTTGTAATCATAGACATTTGTGAAGTTGTGAAAATAGCATGGTTTGGTATAGTTCCTTATCCAGCTTTAACTGAAAATATTTTAAACAAATAAATACCTCTTCAGTTTCTAGCGTAGCAGTAACTTTATGTCAGCTGAATGACAGCTCTTTGCATTAGTGCACATCATGCTCACGACTTGTAATTTATCTTATAGTCATGCTATAAAATCTATAGTTTATGTTTTTAGTAAAAATATAATGTTTTAGGTGCTTAATAAGAGAAATCAATTTAGGGTTTTAAGGGTAAGCAACCTGATGTGCTCCAAAGCTGTGTTCCCAGAGGTGGACACTAGATGGCAGGGCTTCACTGTTTAAAATTTGAAAGTCACCAACCAAGATTAGATTTTCTCTTGTACCAGACAAGTTAGTCTAAGAGCAATATCCTTTTTCCTTTACTCAAAAAATGTCAATGATATTTAAATTGCCATTTAACAAAATGCATAAGCCATGTAATTATGATCACAAAACGTAGTATCTATTAGAAACAGCTTTTTAATAGGCAGGGTGTTTTCACAAAGCAGGAATGACAAATTGACAACTGAGTGCTGAGGGCCTTTTTTTTTTTTTGGTAATTGAGATTTATTTCCTTTTCTGTAGGCAGTTAATGTGTTATGTTATTACCTGTAGAGAATTTGATTCATAGCGTTATTTCCCCCCAGGCCACTCTTCCCCTCTCTCCCCCCACATACACTGTTGCTTATCAAATTGGAATTCTAGAAGCTTTAGGTTGAATCCAGCCATTTATTGTGGGGCCAGTCTTGTTATGCTGTCCTATATATTCTTGTCTGTTGTCGATTAGGAGCTCGGGGAGTAGGCGCTAATTGACAGCGCATGTTAAATCCCGGAGTGCGTGTGAGAGTGGTGTGTGAGCCGGGCTGCGGTGCTCGGCCAAATTACACAGAGAAGAACGTCGTCCTAGGAGAGTAATCCGCGCTTCTAATATAAGGCAGAGCAGCTGTGATTGTATTGTAGCTTATTTTTCTCCATTAACGGAACTCTGAAAGCTACCCTATTTTAAAATAAAAATCAGTTTTAGTTCCAAAATCAGAAATGTACTGTGTATCAGAACGTCTATATCAAATAGTAGAAAGAGCCATTTCCTTTTTCTTGCATGACGTCTGTCAGGCTTTAAGATACCCATTATGAAGCAGTACAGACTCTTACACCGATGGAAAATAGTGCCTTTGGGGGTATATGAGATTTTGATTGCAATAAAAATTTATACCTGAGACTTACTCTTTGTTCAGTATTCATCTCATCGAAAACTTATTTTTAAAAATGTCTCGTTTTTGAATGACTTTCTTAAAAAATAACTATATCTAGTGACAACTGTGTTCCAGTAAGCAAACTTTGTAAAGGGACAGTTAGTACATAATTTCTGGCTTGGTAGGACACAGGTCTCTGTTGTGACCAGCTCTCCAGCGAAGAGCGAAAGCAACCACATACGCGACGTGAAGGGAACAAATAGCAGGGCTGTGTTCCAGGCAGGCTTGACCTGCAGAAATGGTCTGCTGGCCCGATCACTACCGATAGTGCCCTGACCCCTGATTTATTCTAGGACCACTCTGTCGTATTACAAACACAAAGGTTTGTGATTTAGTTTTAGTCATTTAGGAGACGGCCCTCTAATAACTTTTAGCTCAATTAGAAAACCCCCCAAGACTCGTGGACTACTCAAAAGAAGGCATAGTAACAGTGAACTTCATCAGATTGCTCTTCACCCTGGCTCTGTTATTAATTAACTAGCTCATTTTTTTTTTGCCTGCCAGTCATTCTTTCTGGACATATAAAATGTTAATCAAGAATACCCCTTTCCTTCTAATATTCTTTCAGTACAGATATTCCTTTTCCTAGGAAAAACAAAACAAATAATAATGCTTAAATTCCTGAAATCTGTAGTCTTAGATCTTCACTAGATTTTTCAAGGAAACTTCCTAAATTCATATTATTATATAAACAGGAATACACATTTAAGTAGAAGCCTCACTAGAAATGATGCTACCTTGACTTCTTAGTTTTAAAATTTTGTGGCCACATCTGACCTGTATGATTTTAGAATGGGATATGTATTTTGACTTAACTACATGTGCTCACAGAATCCTGGTCTTTAACCCTATAGGCAGTTCAAACTTGGCCATTGAGTGAAATGTTTCAGGACACAGGCATTTTTATGCCTGACTCACTAGAGTAAAAACAATCATTTGGTTTGCCTCCTGATTGCTGATGAAATGTGATCCCCGATAAAATTTTTGAGTATGGTGGAGAGTAGAAGATGACATATTCTTAATAGACTGAGCTATATTCAAAAAAGTGATGTTCTCTACTCTATTTTGAAGATTTAATTTGGTTGACTTGTTCTTCTGTTCATACACGGCTCAGTCGAGAAAGGTGTTACAAAGCAGGATACACTCAACATTTCTTGAGATCCCAGATCAGAGCGTTCACTCACGGAGCATGACTGTTGAGTTTGCCTTTGAACCTCAAGAATGGCAGGGTCTGAGCCTGACTTCTGAAAGTGGGACCTGGAGATGAACAGTTGAATGCTGCTGCAGTCAGAATTTTAAAACTTCTTTCTGCATTATCTTTTTGTCTAAAATGGAATTTTCTTTCATATAGATAGAAAAGTAAGGTAATTTAGTGGTGCTTATTACGTAATGAGCTGGACTTAATTGGTCACATCAGCTCTTCTACATGTTATAACTGAAGTCAGTGGAAGTGGAGACATGGCTGGGTGTGTGAGTAGGGGCCTTTTGGCTGTGGGGTCAGTGAAATGTCTCCTCGAGGTCTTTTGAAGACATGACGTTATTTATAATAGTCCTAGTTCAGTTGCACACTATGTGTGATCTTGAATGTAGGTATTCAGGGGAAAAAAAACTATAACTTTAGAAGTCACTATTTGTAATGAAATAGGTTTCAAAAGTTCCAAAGGGCATTTTTCCCTTTGAAACCTCCTTTGGACTTCTGGGGGATTAAAAGGAGAGGAAGAACCTGGAGCTTCTCTGTGTGAACTTTCCCAGGATTCATTAAGCATTTCTCGATGATAAACACATAACTAAACTGCTTCATTATAAGATACAATGTTTTCTAAATATCAGGAATATGTTTCTATAAAAAAATCATGAGACCATTTTTGATGAAATATGTCAAACTTATTATAAACATCCTTCTAAAATCTTCTGGGTAAAACAGTGGAACCTTATACAACTCAACCTGATGATGTTAATAATATTTGCTGTTTATATAACACCAGCTTTCTGAGGAGCTAAATTGACTTCACAGGTATTGTGTAATGAAAGCTCACACCACGGCCTGGGAGAGGAAAGGGGGTACTTGCACTTTATTAGAGAGGAAAATAAGAAGAGAGGTCAAATGGCTTATCTGCACTTTCAGAGGAGGCCAGGAATCAAGCTGTCCACATTTCCTCTGCATTTCTTTCTTATAAAAACGAATTCCTCTCTACAACAATAAATATTTATTCGCAACAGAAGTACTAATCGGAACATGCTCAACCGGCTGACAGAATATAGCAGGGGGCAGATTCTCCCCCCCCCATTGAGTTTACATTCTAAACTAGACAAACAAGACAGGACGTGAAAATACAGAGAGTTGGAGTATAATTTGCACTGCTGAGAAGTAGCTGGCTCTCGGTTTCAATTTCTTCTCTTGAAGTCCCATACATATTTTATCTTTTGCATATTTTGGCAATATATCCGGCTAAGAGCTATAAAGCTGTTTAATTTGTTTTTTGGTAAAGCCTTTTACGTCTGGGTAATGGCTTTGCACATCACTTGCAGCCCGTAATGTGGCTAAGCGCTCTGATTGACAGAACACCCACGTTCAGACTTGTTTATTCTTGATAAGGAAATGCCAGCTAATGTGGTCCATATGTGCTCCTCCACAGGGTGAGGCTTATTCACATGTAGTGGACAATCGTTTAAAAATAAAATGACAAGGATTATAAGAACACTAATACGTATGAAAATCGGATTTTTCCATTCTCCTTTTCACTTAAAAAATTTTTAAGCTTTAAACCATTGACTTTATCAATAGGTTTTAAAAACTTAACAACCTCATTGCTTAAACTTTTGAAATCAGGATGTTTTATTCTTATTTGAAGGCATAGAAATTTAAAAATATAGACAGTTTGGAAAATATAGCAAAGTTAACAGTTATGTAAAACATTCTATTCATGTAATCAACATACTAAAATTCTTATGACTGAAACAAGCCAGAGCTGGATCCAGAAATGACTACAAAGACCATTTCGTAAGGTTTGGGAGAAAATTAAAACGCTTATGTCTTCCGAAGTCCTCTCCATGATACCTCCTGTGTTACTGCTTTTGTTGAGAACTTGTTACTCTTTTGTCAGACACCTGAGCCTTGTCAAGGACTGCGAAGGGTCTGAAATTTAGCCTACTTAGCAGTTAACAAGTTAGCTTGCCAGTTTCACTCTGGATGCTGGCAGAGGACATGAGACTCCTGGGTCAGAGACCAAGGACTTTTCAGCTCCCAGCAAAGCAAGCGAGAGTTTCATGCCCGAGCCTGTTCTCTGGGCATACGCAGTCTCAGAAGGATGGCATGGAGTGTGGCCCAAGGAATTCCTGCGCAGACCATCTGAGCTTGGAACCCCTGGCTTAGGGAAACTCCATTTTTTATAATGTGAAGTAAACAGACCTGCTTAACCTTTGCTGAGGTGGGGAAGATTTATTTTTTATTTTATCCACCCTCTGCTGTGGAGGGATACATGACTCTATTGTCTAAAGTTATTTGTTATTTAAACATCTTTGAAAAGATAGCCTAGAAAGAAAGGACTGCTTCTGCTTACAAAATGTGCAGAAATTTGAGACCCATGGAGCATTAGCTTCTAGGAAGCATTTCCACTAATGTTTCATATTATGATGCAAATTTGACATTTCTGGGTCTAATGTAAGAATTAATTATTATGGATCTAATCTGGTTCTACAAATCTGGAGGTTTATGTCTTGGCTGAGAATAAAAAAAAGTGGTTCGGAAACACTGATGTTTTTTAATCATGAGAAACAAGATGATCTGGACAAGTTTATATTGTTCCACTATTAGAGAATTAGTATTATAGTGTGCCCCCAGCACATAGTAGGTGCTCAAAAATTATAGGGTGAATGCATCCTAAGAAATATGACAACTTGGCTAATTATGACCTATAATGGTTTTGATAGAAAGCCAATAAATGATGTCTAAAATTAACTGAATTTGATGCAATTTGATGAATGATATATAAGCACTAGATCTTAATGTGAAAATAATGGTAATAAAGTAATAATATGTAATAACTTCATTTATAAACTTCTCATAACAATTTCAGGACATAAGTGTTGTTATTTCATTGCACTTTAATCTTGAACAGTGCAGATGTGATTAAATACCTATTAGTGAGGTTGCTATTATGGCATTATATATAGTTTTCTTTAGAAGAATAAATAAAAATTACAGTTGTTTTCCTAAAATGTGAATTTAAACAAGGTTTTATTGTGGCAAATAACTATGATTTGTATAAATATAGTGAGACAATTTTAATATTTTACCCCTTTTATTAGACTGAAATTATTCATAGTTCTTAAAAAAGGAGAAAGCAAAAACGATTGTCATTTAGGTCTTTTAAAAGGTCTATTCTTTAATATTTACTATTTGAGACCCATAAAAATGTATTAATATAAACTTTTAACTTTTAGGCAACTCTCAGCTGAAGCCTTAGATTATCACCAATAACTGACCTTTTAGTATTATTCCTTGTTAGTATTATTCCTTGTCATCCCATTCTTCGGCTTTCTTTCGAGACTTAACCACCATCATAAAACTTGCATATTCCGACTGCTAAGCAAGGGTTAACATTTTCTTTCCAAGTCCTCATTTCTACGGCTCTTCCCCTCATTTTCTCTTTTTTATTCATTTATTCTTTATGGAATTGTGCTTAGGATGAAGTATTCAAAGTCGAGGCAGACACGTCCCTCAGTTTGGCAGGTCATTATGAAGATTCGGGACATGCCCTTGAACTGCTGACATTGGACGAAAATTTGTGGGTTGCCGTAGCCTCTGAGATTTGTTCGCAGGATCCCATTCCGCTAAGAGCACATGTGTTTTTCTAGACTCTGTGGCGACCTTGGAGAAAGTCAGGGATGAAATAACAGATTGTCTTCAAATGCTTCAGTCCAGCTCTGAATTTTATTGGCACTTACATATTCCACTGTTTATTTCATTAAGTGCAATCTGTTTCTCTTACGTCCCGTGCAGAACGTGAAAGATGATGGACAGCATGTGTGGAGACTCAAGCACTTTAACAAACCTGCCTACTGCAATCTCTGCCTGAACATGCTGATCGGGGTGGGGAAGCAGGGCCTCTGCTGCTCCTGTGAGTATGTTTGTCCCAGGAATCAGCACCTCCGGTGAGGAGAGGTTGATGCTTATGGGGTAGTCCTGTTTGTTGATGGAGACCCAGGGATGATCCTCACCATTCCTGTATCTGTGACTGATACTCCCCTGGGGTGCATTTCTGAGCAATTGGGTCACTCCCTTTTTAACTTTCTTCAGTTTTGGAAAACCCTCACTTAGGAAAGAGTGAAGGACATTTTCCAATCCATTAGCAATTTTCTTTCCACTGTAGTTTAATTTATCATGCAAATGTTCCCATTTCTATGGAAATTATTATAAAATTTTTACTAGTTTCTCTTTTTTATATCTAACTCATATTTATCTTACTTTTTTTCCTTTCCAAGTTAGCCACCTTATTCGTGTTGACCTCTGATGAGTCAGTTCCTCAGGTCTTTTAGAAAATGGTTAAATTAATTGACTGTCAATTTGCATTCAAATTAAGAAATCAGAAGAAACACAAACTAACCTTATACCATAGGCACATTATTTTTAATGCTATTATGAAGAAACTCCCCACATGTGATTAATGCATACTGGAACCCAAAGCCTTGCCAGTTCACGAGTTGTGGTCATTATTTTCCCTTTAGTACATTCATCTTCTCAATTTCCATTGTATTAAGTGAGTGCTGTCTAGTGGAAGTTTCTAATAGTGTACTTTACACTTCATTTATAAGTCATCTACATGTTTTTGAATCTACACCAGACATGCCTGAGACATTTTTTCATTCCCTGATGTCGGTGGAAAAGCAGAGGGTATGTCCCGTCCTCCTCACTCAAGTGCGAGGTTGTCTTGGTCCAGCAATTTGTCCATCTTATACCCTTTTCTGTGTGGAACTGTCAGGTTTATTAAACACATCCGTTTTTGTGTATTTATACTAAGTCTAATTTCTTACTTGGCTTCCACACAATGTGTCATTGTCGGAAACCATTTTTAGGTAGCCACTTCTTGTAGTACATTTGGGAATTGATTCCAGCTCAGCTGTATTATTTGACATTAGAAACCATGTTTCATTGCCACCTTTAAGTGATGTCTTATTTAAGGATTTTAATAAAGTTACATGATATTTTCCCGTGCTGACTTTAGAGGGCAGTTTCTGGTGGTTTCATTTGAAGAGCTAGTTATACTAGAACCTTCTCCGTGTACCAGGGAAGTACTTTGTTTTTAAAGTTCTGGTATTTCTAAAGAAAAATAATTTTTCATGGGAGATTTTGTTGATGGAAGCATAAGAAACATAATAACTCTCTAAAAGGTGAGATGACATATAGACAGTGAGAATTTTTGCTCACAAATTATAAGTGATTAGTGTGGCAAATGCAGTATATTGTCAATATGAAAGAGAAGAAAATGTATGTTTTCTTCCTTAATGTTGAGAAAGGAAATCTGAAGTGTAGAAAATGTGGAAAAGTTTCACTATATAAATATTATGTGGACTTTGTACTTTTCATTCTAATTTTATGCAGTGGTTTAGTATTTGTTTTATTAAGAGGACAACATGGTTGTTTCTGATTTAATTTTGTCTCTATATTTATGCATTTAGAACTCTTAATTTTATTCTTCTATTAAAAGAACATCTGTATAGGACCCTAAGTCACTTTCAAAATCAAGCTATGCAATAAATAATTTGAATATGCCAGTGAAATATGTCATAGTCTGTATGTATACACACATATATGTATGTGTGCATGTAGATACACATTGCATATGAACATAAATATTCACATTGGTGTATATGTATATGTCACATGTTGCCTAGCAGAAGTCGTTCCCTTTGGACAAACACTGCCGTGAAGACAAATGAGGGAGGAACAGTTACTAAAGGCCTGGCCTGTATGATGAAATCTCTTCTCTGGAAATAGACTAATCAGCCATTTAAGGTTTAGATAAATCAATAGACAAAATAGCATAAACTCATGGTCTTTTATTCCCATGCTCGCCAGCTGCTCTCATGCCTATACTTCATAAAATATAGATCTCTTTCTCTAGCAAATGACACCAAGCCATTTGGCAGTCATCAATTTGTCTTTAATATTTTTGTCATCTGGAAGTTATTGTGAAAAATTTGAGGGAGGTCTGATTTAATTAGGCATTTCCTGCTATGCCATGACAGAGGCGTCTTGGTCTTTCACATGCATAATATTTCCTGTGCTAATCGGTCTTTTGTATTCCATGGTGAAAACAGTCGACTGAGACTTTTTCTTGATGTGGCTGATTGGATTGATTAGGGAGCAGTGGACGTGAAATGAGATTCTGTTAATGTCATTCTTTCCCTGTAAAACTGCAAGCAGGACCAGGATCAGCTCTGAATCTGTGTCCGTGTTTCCTTACAGTTTGCAAGTACACAGTGCACGAGCGCTGTGTGGCCAGAGCGCCTCCTTCTTGCATCAAGACCTACGTGAAGTCCAAGAAGAACACTGACGTGAGTGCGGGGCCCTGCGGGCTTTCTGGAGGAGGCGTGTGAGGACATCTCCTCTCACCACCACGCTCTGTTCTGTCCTAGGTCATGCACCATTACTGGGTGGAAGGCAACTGCCCAACCAAGTGTGATAAGTGCCATAAAACCGTCAAGTGTTACCAGGGCCTCACTGGACTGCATTGTGTTTGGTGTCACATCACAGTGAGTAACGCTGGAAAACGAGTCTCTAGACATCTCTCACTTCGAAGACTGTGCATCTCATACTCTTTTTTTAAGAGTCCTACCCCTTCAAGATCACCCTGAATTCAGACTAAGCATAAGACCGTGGGAGTTTCTGATTTCATTCGGCTTTCAAGGGGATAAGAGGTGGAGTCATAGAATCCAATATTTTAGAGATAGTGACAACTTTAGATATGATACCATCTTACAGTTTTCTATTGCACTCCATGGAGCCTTAGGAGTTGCCGGGAAGGTAATCAGCAATCACAGCGAGGCTCGGGCAATGAGCGTGGGATACTGACTGAATAGAGCGCCTCTCTCCCTCTACACTGCAACCCTAGTTTGGTAGAGTTTTCTGGTTTACCAATATAAATTTATTTTAATCACAGAATCTCTGGAGGGTGAAAAAGGTAGAATGAACAAAATGCGAAGATTTAATTATATAGTAAAGATACTAAGACCAAGGAAAACTAACCAAAATGACCTGGACCTTGTGGCTAGGTAGAGAAGCACTTGGATTCACATTTAATTCCTGATGTTTCTATGAACTCACTTGTCCCTTCTTTACATGTTGTTAATCTGTTCCTTCAGTTCAATCATCAATTGAGGGATAAGAAGTAGAGAGCTAAACTCATTCTTGGCCTTGACAGGTGAAAAAGAAAAGGTACATTGGTCTTTCTGGGGAAACTTTAGGACTCCATCTGGTGTGTGTGATTGTTAAAGCCGACTCCAAATAACCTCTGGAATAAATGCAGTTGTTAGATGATACTTCCTGTGTTTCATGTTTAATTTCCGGAGATTAATTAGAATGCACATTTTTAAGAATAGCAATTTTTGACAACATAGTAATAAATCATTTAAGGACTGGGCTTTTTGTTGTTGCTGTTTTTTTCCTCAATTGCTTTTTCTAGCTGGCGTTTGAGTCCTCTTGTTATAAGACCAATTGTTCTTGCTTTTGTGGGAATAAAACAGTGGCAAGTTTTGCAAATGGGTTTCTCTGTGGTGTCCTTCACCCTGCCCCCACTCAAGCTCACACATAAACACACAAGATAATGAGAAAAACAAACTGTGACTAGCATTTCAAAAATAACTTTAAGTACTTTTTTAACTGAATGCATTTTCTTCGATTGTTTTCAGCTATTAAATTGTATTTACATTTGAAATTCCCTCAATTATGAAAAACAGTTTTATTTTTTGAAGCATTTAGTTATTATAATAAATTGTCTAACAGTGATTTAAATTGCACATATGAATTACTCAAACATAACGAGTTCTCAGTTTTAAGAAAACACAACTATTTTATTTAAAAAATCATGCACATTAAATATAGCCATTTTTGCTACACATCTGTAACAATATATACTTTTTATTTCTGACATTTTAGGATCCAGCTCCTCTGATTTTTCCGATATAGTACATCTTTCACTAGTTATATTTTCCATATAAACTGAAATTAGAGAACATCAGAATTTATTTTTTCTTTGTATTTTAGGTTATTTTCTCATTCTTCAAAAATTTCAAATGTAATGTCTTAAATTTATTATTTTTCTCTACTTTTTATTTCTTGAAAAAAATCCATGTGTTTTAAATGCATACTTATCTTGAACACTCTAAAAATATGCATTGGTACCTCTGTTAATATAAAAGCTTTTAGAACTTTTTTCTATTTGATTGCTCTCCCACTTTCCCCATTTAATCTTTATGAAGCATTGCACATGCTCCACTCTCTGTATTTTATGGAAATCACTCTCCTCAAAGTTACCATCACTAGTGGTCTCTCACTGTTACAGTATTCTGAAATTATTTTTGTTTAATATTCTGCTTTGTTTTTTCTCAATTTCTTTATTCACAAGTATATGTTTATACTTGGTCTTGATCCTGGCCCTAATTTTACAGGAAAGTAGGCACTTCTTTTTAAAAGAAAAGAGAGGTTTACATCAGAATAAACTATATTTTTAAAAATCTATGTATTTTTTTAATGTTTAAATCAGTTCAGACAACAGGGCTTTACATCTTTTTCTTAACTAAAGATCCCTGTGTACAGGAAGATAATTCTATTCTTCAGTACAGAAGAACACAGTGTAAACTGCAAATGTCCTTATGCCCCGGAGTTCTACTTGGGAAACAAGCCCACCATGGACACTGTAGTGTAAGACAGAGTCAGAAAATACATGGCTGTCCTCTTCTAAGCTGCCCCAAAGTCTGAGGCTCCCACCCCACATCAAGCTTATTTGCTGTAAACCTTGATGTCTGGGAGTCCCATCAGTATTTGGTTCATGAAGCAAGACTTGAGCAGTAATAGAGTTCTCATATATTAAAAAAATGTATATAGCCTTCTCAAAAGTAACTTTAGCTTCTGTGCATTTTTTTGAAAATTTTAAGCAATTATAAGGACTCATTAATATATTGATTTTGTGCCTAAGTTGAACAGAATAATTTACCTTAGACCATTTATGTATTTAGTATAATTTGTAGTTTCTTCTTTAATCACTGTATGAAAATTTTAGTCTAAAGTTCACTTGCTCTTGACTGATGCTCGCCTGTTACTACCAATTGCCTTTAAGCAAAATGTATCTACTTTCTTATGTTCTTCTACTTTCCAAAAAGTGCTATTCTCGTAGCAAAGGGCTAATAGAAGTGAAGTTGATGGAATATGGCACCATTGATATAAAGCTTTACATTGATGTCCGGGAGGAGGCCTAGCTACATGAAGACCAGGAGGAATAGATTGCAGAGAGGAACACAGAGGATGAAAGTGGACTTCATTTCATGGCTTTCAAATGATATTACTTCCTTTTACATATTACTTTTGGAATGGCATGAGTCTCAGAAGTCAGACTGAGCAGTTTCTTAAGATGGTCTATCTCCAATAACCAAGATGGTAGTTGTGTAGCCTTGGGCCAGGTATGGAAAGGTTTTGGGCAGTTTTCTAATTTGTGAAATAGAGTTAATGATACCCATATTGTAGGATTGCTAATAATAATTAAATGAGTAGATGTGTCTAGGGCAGAACCTCATATATAGTAAGTGCTCAGTAATTGACTATTCTCATCGTAGTGAAACCTGGGTAAAACATTACAGGGGATCACAAAACCCTACCCCGGGCTCTCAGAGGGCACTCCATGAATATTACTCATGGCTTTTCTCTTCACCTCTGGAGGGATCTGCGATTTCCCAGTGGAAGGGAGAACAGCACTTACATGTTCTGAAAACATCCAGAACCATGTGGTCCTGAATCTCACTAAATCCCAGACTAAGCTGAGTTTTTTATAATTCACAAATAGCAACTATTCCAACTCTCTTTTCCATCAGACATGTAACATCACACTTGTAGCCACTGAAAATAGAGATAGAAATCAACTTATTTTATTCTTGTCTTTCACCTTTCTCTCTTATAGTCAACCTCTCACTGAGACTTTAAATTTTCTCCTTAAAATAGATTTCTCAGATTTGAGTTTTCGTCTCCATCCTCCCCAGCCCAAGTGCAAGCTCTTAGCACCTCTTAACTAGATTAGACAAGAATCTCTTGGCTTATCTCCCTAACAGAAGGTACTTTTCCTATAATGCAGGCTGCCATCCACCTCCAGAACCATCTTCTGAAAATACTAGTTTGTTATCATATGCCACCTTCAGCAACCCATAATAGTTCTGTGATAATAAATGCAGCCCTCACCTCCTCCTACCCCGACCTGGTTTTCAGTTCCTCAAATATCAGGCCGTAAGGCACAGGCCTTATGTAACATCCCTTCTACACACAGCCGCCTGTGCAGCTGTGCGTGTTTGTTGACATTCTCTTGGGGAGGCCATGCTCTCCCTCCCCCCACTGGCTATTTTGCTTACTGCATTCCCTTCAGCGCACCCACTTTAATTTCTACTAAACTTCAAGAACCAAATAAAAGTCCCTATCTTCCTTGAAATTTTCCTTGGCACTGGTATTTTTTTCTGAATAACTTACATATTTTTCAAAAAATAATTTTTCTGCCCTGGCTGGTGTAGCTCAGTGGACTGAGCACGGGCTGCGAACCAAAGGGTCGTCAGTTCGATGCCTAGGTTGCCTTGCTAGATCCACAGAGTAGGGGGCAGTGTGAGAGGCAACCACACATTGATGTTTCTCTCTCTTTCGCCCTCCCTTCCCCTCTCTCTAAAAATAAATAAAGAAAATCTTTAAAAAATAATAATAATTTTTCTTCTTTCTTTTCTCTCTTTCTTTCTCTTTCTCTCTCTCTTTCTCTCTTTCTTTCTTTCCTTCTTTCTTTCTAGAAGGGAGGGAGAAAGAGAGGGAGAGAAACACTGGTGTGAGAAAGAAACATCAATCTGATCTGTTGCCTCTTGTGTGAACCCCAACAGGGAACTGAACGCACAACCCAGGCATGCACCCTAACTGGGAATCAAACTGGTGACCTTTCACTTTGTCGGGGTCCTTCTATATTTTTAATCCACAGAAGGCTGAGATGCTCTCCAGAGGTTGTATGTCTGCATATTATAACATCAACTGCCCTGCTAGTCTAGAGTCCAAGCCAGCTTTGGTCTAATATGCATATTATTTCTAATCACCCCAAGTTCTTGATGAAGTGCTGAGTTTGTAGGAGGTTCTCAGTAAGTTCAATTTAATGTCTGGTGCACTGTCCTTCTTACTGTTCGTGCATATTTAACATGTGTGACTTAAATTCAGCTTTTTAAAAACTATAATCCTATAATATAAAATCTGCATCAGATATACTAGGTGAATTCAGACAAATTCTTAAAGACATAAACCTACTTTAGCACCCTTTTTTTAGTCAGGACCTGTGATTTCTTCATATTATAATATTTTGTCATCTTGTAGTTATAAAGATAGGCTCTTAGAACTGCAGTTTTTTTTCAGCAAATCTAACCAGTTAAGAACATAAAAATAGAAACATCATAAGTTATAACAATGTAAACTGTCTTCTAACCTTGAGGCAACAGTTTTTCCTGTGCTTTATAATTCAATCAGCTGGGCTCAATGTCCTTGTTGGTTCTCTATTCCTTCTCCTACTCACATCTCCGGAACCTTCCATCCCAGTGTTTATACCTGTTCATTTCTTCTCCGAGGGCGTTTCCTTGACTTTCCATTTAAAACATGTTGTGATTTGCCCCTGGTTGTAGTAAAATGTCATTCCTCAGGCAGGCCTCACCAGAGCAGGAGGGGGAGACATTTTACTTCAGTTTAACAGCATAAGCCTGTATTATGGCTTTGATTTATTTACTTTGGTATTATGTGGGCCTACTACTTTTGTGAAAATATTAAGCTGGAAGCAATACTGTTGAAAGGTTTTCATTGTCTTTCCAATAGGAAGGTTTATGCTTTAGCAAATTCTGGAAATAATCCAGCACCCTGAGATTTCAAAATGTTAGAGACCTAAGAATCTATATCCAACAAATGTTCCTTTAACTTAGGTCATTTAGGGTTTTTTTTCCTTTTCCCCAGAAGATGAACTTATTTCTCTTTATTTTCCCCTCAAAATTCTTAGAAAAATTTGTTTTCTATTTTTTCCCTCTTTCATTCTTGGATTCTACTGCTTCTTCTCAGTACAATACCCCCAGTTTTTTTTCTCACACCTATTCAATAAATACACACACACACAAACACACACACACACACACTTCTTCTTTCCTTGAAACAGCTTTCTCCAATAAACATAGACCTGGCTCTAAATCAGGTGGTATTAGAAATTGCCGGGTGGTAATGGGAGGGAGGGGAGGGATGGGTGTGTGGGCTGGAATGGGAGTAAAAGGGAGAAAACTGTACTGGAACAATGATTAAAATTTTAAAAAATAAAATTTTAAAAAATTGCCATAAACTCTGAGATTATTTCCAAGTGTTTATTTCACTTCCAGGAAAAGCTGGTATATATTTGATATATTTCCTGGATATGGGACTGATTGATTCCCTTAACATAAGTGGGAATTGTCGTGCATAAAATAATGACCTGAGGATTTCTATGTCTTACTCTGAGAAAATGCAAAGATAACTGAACAACTGTACAACATTTTAAAAGAGATCACACTTTGCTCTGGGGCTCCACTGGCAATTTTACAGAAGAGGCAGGACCCATCCATGCTGTGGCTTGAAACCTGTCTCCATGTCTGTCTCTCTGTGTCCAGATTTCTCTCTGTAAGGTACCAGTCATTGGGTCTGGACACAAACTAATTCTGTGTAACTTCACCTGAACATGAATATATTTACAAATAAGCTCACATTTATGGGTTCCAGGGGTGAGGATTTCAACGTGTCTTTCAAGGGACTCTGTTCAGCCCACAGCATTTGGCGATCTATTATCTCTGAATCGAAAGTCCAGGGCCATGACAGAGTCTAAGAAAAATGATTAAGTTCAGTGAGTTAATAATATATTTAAACCAGTCACTAATTTTATTTTGGAGAAAATATGCAGTTGCTTTTGCCAAATCTGAGTGTTCATGTAATTAGTTTTGTTTTTCATGTGGCTTCAACGGCTTCTTTATCTTTAACACCTCTTGATAAAGATCAGTAGTCCCTTATTAGATTAAACCACTTTTTATAAGGAGTTTACGTGCCTGTGACAAGCAGAGCTGCTAATTATGAATGAACATGTAAACGTACTTTTATTTCATATGTTGTACTCTAATGTGTATAGTTACAGTACAAGTAGCCTTCACTCCACGGCAGGGAGGTAGCATGGCAGGTATTTTAGATGGAAGGACAACAGAAATACCCCTGCAGTAGAGCTCTGTCTCCGACAATAAATCAGCACTCACTGGGCTCCTATCCTTGGTTGCTAATTAACCGTTACATAGGTAAGTTTGTTGTGAAGTTTAATGTAGCCGTGACTTACATGGGGTGGCTTTTGGTTCAAAACTGAAAAATGATGTAGTTCCTTTTTTTGTTTTGAACACGAAGCTATTTTATTAATAAGTATAATTTTTCTAAAGCATGATATGTCATATTGAATTGATACGATGAGGGATCAGGAGAAATCCCTAGATGCATTTAAACAACTGTGACTTTAGCATATCTGTATGATTCCAATAAAAACTGACACCTTGATGAAAAAAAATCACCATTTAACATACTATATTATAACACCTCAATTTCAATTTGTGTCCAACGTTGATAAAAATATTGGTTTAGGTTCATATGTGTTGAAAAGTAAATAACACATTGTACAGTTATGCACTAAAGCAATGTAGAGCTGATAAATACAATATAAAGATACATTTTTATAATGATAATCATCTTATATTTATATCCTGCTCCTACTGAGATGAATCTCTGGTTACATTTACATATTGAATTACAAAGTTAAAACTAATGATGGGATCAATTATGCCCCATACTGAGCTGTGCACTTTGGAATGACTTTGAGAAAACAGGAGGGTCAAAAAGAAAAAAAAAAAAAGCATTCACAGTGTGCAGTGGTTTCAAGGAAGGACTGTAATAGAGCATAATGTGTATTTGTCAAAGAAAGCAGGCTTTTTTTTTTTTGCTGTAAAACCTAAAGTACATTTTTAGTATAAACATTTCTGAGAATTAGAAAATATATACGTTGGGTCACAGAAGTTACTAAATGGTTAATTTAAGGTAGATATATAAGGGCAAATATAATATGAATAGCTTTATGATCCTCTTTGTTCATTCTTCTTTGTAAATTATTTTTATGTACCTTTAAGGTGTTTGCTATCTCTGAGTTGAAATACAGTCTGTCCTGTGTTTGCTCCTGTCATGCAACATTTGATAGTGTCCTCTTTCTCCTTTCCTAGCTGCATAATAAATGTGCTTCTCATCTAAAACCTGAATGTGACTGCGGGCCCTTGAAGGACCACATTTTGCCACCCACAACAATCTGTCCAGTGGTACTGGTGAGTGATCCCTTCTCATCCTCCTGCTATAAAACTTGGGTTTTCTATGACTGACTGGTAGACTACACCACTAAACGCTTCCAGAGCTAATTGTCCATTGATCAAGGCACAGCTGCATGGATATAAAATACCTCATTACTTTGGAGGAGACACCTTTGCCCACTGTATTTCCTTTTTCCTTCATGGTACAATAAACATTCAGTAAGGTATGCTCTAACTGAAGCTGACTCAGGTTTTATCACTTAGTCATGCTGGACTTACCAGAAATTGTATAGGCAAAACTCCTCTACGTTGTACATGTTTTATAGATCTAGCTTCCCAGAATAATGAATTTATTCTTATGGGCAGTTTTGCTGGGGATGCACATTATATATCTGCGATGGTGAGGTTTCTTATCCAGGTCAGAGGCTCCCCAGATTGAGGACACCTTGAAGAAAGCTATGCATTGCCATTAGGAGTATTTTATTTTTTTATTAGTGAACAATAAATCAAACTATCAGGAAAGTAATTACTTAATTCACTCAACACACAGGTATTTTTCACACAGGTGAAAAATATGTAAGGGAGATAAGGTAACACTGAAAAGAATAAACCTTCTTAGAAAGAGAAGCAGATATTCAAAGACAGTATTCGGAGTACATTTCAATGTCCAAATTGTTTCTAAGATGAAACAGTTATTTTACAAAACAAACTATTTTATATCCATAATGCAGTTTTCAATTTTAAAAACAATATGAAAATTAGGTAGCTGGAACTTCAGTTGGATATAATAAAAATACAGCTAAGAAATGTTAGACAAATACTTTTCTAAAGGTCAACTGAGAAATTAGTCAAATTACTCAATTTGCACCCACTTATGGTTCATTTTTTAATTATCTGTAAAATACTGGTTGCATTTTAAATGTCTTTATTTAAAAGTTACTAAAAACTCTTCATTTTCTCAAACTACAAATATAACGCAAAGAAAAATACCTCCACATTGCTGAGGCTAGCAATAACGAATTCTAACTTTCTTCATCTAAAATTTATTAGACATCCTGTAGTAAATAAGATTAATTAAAATTAATGAGAGCCATGTAAAAACATTTTTATTTTAGATGAATTTTGGTGTCATCTTTATGCTACATTATCTTCTTAAAGAGAAAGGACTTGCAGAAATTTTATATATTTTTACTTTAAAAAAATTGAAGTAATTTTACTAGTTCAGATACATTCTCAAGCTCAGATATTAACTCTGAGAGCTAATCTGTTATGTCAACCTGTCATCCCATTCCCCATGTCAGTTCTACTCAGTTCTGTGAGGCAGGGGAAAGACAGAGGACTACTTCTTTGGCCCGCCTTCAGGTCACATAAAGTCAATCATGAGATGGATTCATTTTGTTCTATATTCTGCTGTTCTATTCTTTCTTTCTTTGAGAGAATCAAAGGCAAAGAACACCTGTCATATGAATTTTCTTCTGTCAGTCTTGCCAACTCTTTCATTGTGTTTTTAGGCACTTTTGATTCTAGAGATTTGTTTTCAATCACTAAATCTTATTGCCATTTTAATTATAATATATGTATCTCATTGTTTGCTATTTTTAAAATTTTCTTGGCACTACCTACTCTGAAGTATTAGGCACTACTGACCATCTCATTCTAAACCTTCTGCCTTTCACTGGCTCCCATGGTACCATGCTCTCCTGGTCCTTCTTCTGCCTCTCCGATCTCTTCCTTTCAGTATCTTCCCTGGGTTTCACGGCTTCAGCCTGCTCGACGCTGACATGTCCCTGTGCTCTGCCCTCACACGCCACAGCTTTCCACACTTAACTTCTTCCCGCCTTTACTTCTTCCCAGTGGGATCCTGTTTATTTAGTTGATTCCTTACCCTGTCAATTTATATTTATATTTATTTATATTTATATTTGGTTTATCCTTCTCTTCTGAATCTCAAACCTATAAAGTTGCAACCCATGTTGTTTTACGTGGCCAATATATTAGAATTACTTAATATAATCAGGATAACTTATTTTCTGAGTATAGATACTATATCTGCTACCATGCTAAATATTCATTCACATTCATTCATTTGATGAGTATTTATTGAGAATTATAAATAATATTATAAATAGGGGAAATAGTAAAATGTGAATAATATCTTTGTCATGATAAAGTTTTCATTCTACTAAGGTGAAATAGAAAATAAACAATGCAATAAGTAATTATTTAGTACCTAATTACATTAAAACACTGGTTGCATTTTAAACATAAAGAAAAAAAAGCAAGAGAAGAAGAGAAGAAATGTTAGGGCTGAGATAGAAGATGTGGTCAACAGAGTCCATCGAGGAGATAGTTGGGTGGAGAGTTGAGGAATGTGAGGGAGTCACTCATGGGAATCTGGGGAGAGAATTTCACAGACCACGAATCCTCCAAGGAAAGACTGGGAAGGACACAGAGGTAAGGAAAACCTGACATATCTGAAGGGCATAAAGGAAATTAGGGCCTAAGTGGGCAGAGGAAGGAACAATGGAGGAGAAGATCAAAGATATCATAAGATTCTCATATTATGTAGAGAAATTTAGGCCATAGTAAAGTTATTAACATTTACTCCGAATGAAGGTGGAAGCCATTAGAAGATTTTAACTTACATTGAAAATAAACAATCTACCTTTGTGTTGAGGGAGCAACAGTGGGAAAGATATGAGATTTCACTTTTATCAGAGAGATAAACACTGGGTCATTGCTGAGAGCAAGGATGGTATACGACAGGAAAGCTGGGAACTGGGAAGAAGGTACACAACATTCAGCTAGGAAAATGAGAGCATAATGGATCAAGGAAATATCATTGATTAGTGGGGAGTAATGAGAAGGCATTTGTTATTAATAATTATAAATTTAGAACAAGACCAGTAAGCTTAGATGAGCATATTTCTAATCATATTCAGTTATATTTCTCCAATTACATTCCAGCTCCAGGAGCAGAATAAGCATAGCACAGCCTTAAAAGGCTGTGTTTCATCAAATATGATAAAAGGAGAGTGTGTGCATGAGAGTGATTGTAAGAACTGACCATGGAATTTAAGCTGTGACACGAGGGAATTAGGACAGAAGAGTGAGACACAGTAAAGGATATGAGGAATAATACATTGTAAATTACAGTTGAATCCAAGATTGTTGGAATCAAGGTTATCGGGGTCAGATTATGAGAGTGAGATAGCAATTGACATGAAGGGTTTGCTGTTATTGATAATGATATATATGAGTTTATTTAATCCTCACAGTGACACCATGAGATTAATATGGTAACTATTCTCATTTTACATATGAGGAAACAGACACACAGAGGTTATATACACTTTCTGTGTCAAATGGCTATGAAGTAGCTACTCAGGATCCGAGCCCACAGAGCATCGCTCCAGAACCTGGGCACCGAGCTCACCAGGCTCACCCTTAATAGAACCTTAATATCTCAACTTTCCACCAGAAACTTGACTCATCATCACCTGCTTCATCTTCCAGATAAAATTAATCATTAGGCAGCCCACTTTAATTTTAATTGTTTTCCTTCAGCCCAAATGCAACTGCCTCGTAGGCTACCCTCAGAAATTGTTCCCCAGGATTGTCATCAAATCAGGCTTACTAAATTGCCTCCTTTCCATGGACCACCCATTCTGGTTCTAAAAAGACAGCAAAATATTTTCCACTTAAATACATGAATATATTTATAATGTTTTCAGTGATTTCTTATCTGAATTCCAAACTCTCCAGCATGTTAAACAAGGCTTTGACTAGATCAACCTACTCAATCCTTGCATATCATCTTACATACTAGATATCAAGAATAATTTGAACTTCTTGTAATTCTCTAAGTACAGCTGCTCTGTAAAGCCTTTGAGATTTTGTGTATGTTAGTAAATGAGCCTACACTTTGCTTTAAAATTTGTTCTGCCTAGATAAGTAGAAATAAAGGGTTACTTTCTTATCATGAAATAAATGCATTGAATGTTAAACCCATTATCTGTTTAAATACTAATATTTTAAACAAATTAATAAAGTTTTTCTGTCCAGAAAATTGCTTAATTTGCTCTATGGCCTCTGAGATTTTTCAATTTGTAAACTCTCAATAATATTCCAGGAATGATTCATACCTTATCACTGCTGTTATTTTTTATCTTTTGTTTAAAGAAATTGTTAGTACACAAATAATATAGCTTGTTTTGTTTTTTACTCTTTAATAACAATTTTCTTCCTTAAACATTATAATTCCATTTTCTGAAAGTAAAGCAGGTGAGGTTGAGACTCAGTTGTTGCAAGATGGCAATAAATGTCATATCTGTTACATTAAAATATAAAATATAGACTTAGGATATCTAGTTTAATTGAAATTTTTCCTTTCCTTTGCTTTGATTCTGTGACCAGGATTGCTTATGGAATGAGTGACATAAGCTCAGTATACATCCTAGCTGAAGCATCTTACTGATATGTATACTACAGGGCCAAGCCGTCTTCTGGCATTTGAGAATATCTTTTCAGGTGTTATATATATTTTCAACATTTCCATAATACCTGTCTTAGCCTTTCAATCTCTCCCTAACACTTCTTATTAACTTTAAGTGAATAATTCAGTAGTTATGTGCTCAACTGATAAGGAGATTATTAAAGTAAGCATCCTTTCTGCACTGATGATGTGCTTTTATAAGCATGCACTACAAATGGCTTCCACAGACAGTGGCTCTTAATAGTGCCTGTTGCCATAGAAATGGACTAAAACCAGCTACTCTGAAATTAAAATCAATATGTAATCATCAATGATTCCATACATCAGATATAATCACTGTTTTCTTGAATTGCAATTGGTATCTAGGATATTTTAAGCATCCTATCATAAAAATACTCTGCTTAACATTTATGTAGTGTAAGGGATTTTACCAAGATCTTTTATGACTTTTTTTTAATGTGTACAGGTACTTATAATGCTTTCTTTGAAAAATTTTTAGCAAAAATTTTGACAAGCACAGTCC